GCGCACGTGGAGCGGAGCTAGCCGGCTTGCGGACAAGGTGCTAACGCCGTCAGCGCTTGCGGTGCGCGCGTCGGCCGGCGCGTGCTCGCCGGGCTGAGGTGGAAGCCTGTGTGTGACAGAGTCCCGGAACAGGCTGCCCAGAGAGGCTGTGGAGGCTCCTTCTCTGGAGAGCTTCAAACCCACCTGGATGCCACCCTGTGCCATATGCTCTGGGTGTCCCTGCTGGAGCAGGGGGGTTGGACTGGATGATCTAGAGATCATCTAGAGATCATCCAGTCCAACCTCAACCTCTAGATCATCTTCCAACCTCAACCATCCTGTGATTCTGTGAATATATTGGGGCAGCATCGAAGAGCCCCTCTGGGAAACCAAGGACAGGGGTTGTTGTGGCAGGTGTCATCAAGAGCCGTGAAAGAAACCTGCTTGTGTAGATTTTGCAGGGGATCTCAGTTGTATTGAGAGGGAGGTAGCGTTCCCACCAAAACGTTTACTGAGGCGTTAGTGGCTAGGGATCGAAGTGGGTGGTTGTGACCTGCTCTAGTTGGAGAAATAAGGCATCTACCCTGGAAGAGAACTGCGCCAAGTAACTATTGCCAAAGCCCCCAGTCTCTGGTCCCATGGACACGCGTGCTGGTTGGTGAGATCTCCAGGGAGGTGCTGTGTGGGGACCTGCATGGGAACTTGCTGCGGTCGGAGAGCCACCAGATCCAGGTCACTTGCTGCAAGTGCCAGAGGCCAAGGCTGTCAGGGACCTGTCAGGGTGGAAAATGCCTTCCAGAGGAGCAAATTCCAGAGAGTTCAGGGATCTGGACAGCTGAGGAGTACGGGTGTAAAGACACATCTTGGAAGATTAAAAAATGTCGTGGAAAAGACATGGAGGGAAGTTGGTTCTCGCTGGATGGCGAGCTGCAAGAACTAGAAAGCGCAAAGAAGAAGGAATTGACAGTTGTCTGGAGCTCCAAGAGGGCTGGAGAGGAGTTAAGGGCAACTTTTTTTTTCTTTTTTCCTGAAAGGGCAGGAGGTTATCAAGTGAGAATATGCCTTAAGTTAAACCTTCAGAGTTAAGTGCAGCATCAGAAAAGCATGTCAGTTGCCTCAGAGATGAGGGGACTGTGAGATACTTTCAGCTGTCTAGGAAGAAGCAGGAGTTTTCCACTGGGAGCAATTGCCTTAGAGAAGGGCAGAGCCAAAGCTGATCCTATCAATGCCAAAACAATGGAAATCTCACTCTAAAGGAGAGTCGCAAAACAAATAATGTGGCATTTGTGCTGCCTAGAGCAGCCGGGCTGCCCTGCACAGATATCCTCAAACTCTCTAATATTTCTCCCTTCAGACCTGTGTTCTTCTGAAAAGCACCCAGAAGTCACATCCCTCAAGTGTTATACAATCTATAGTGTGACCAGTCCGAACTGTTTTGCGTTAGAAATACACTCTTAGTTTGCATATTTCCTTGCAAATAACTTTTAGCCGTCAGAATCAGGAAAATACACCTGGACTTGGGAGTAGAATAGTAGAGTTGAATAACTGAAGGAATTAAGGTAGAAGGTCTGGAAAAATAAAACCTCTTGAAGTTCCTGGCTGGAATTTAAAATGCATGAAATGGAAAATAACTAGCAACTATCATCTATGACAATTGCCATAAATACCAAAGGAAAACAGTGATAGAGCTCAAGGAAAATAAATAAGATATCTTTGTCTACAGAAGAAGATGTGGCATCAGGAGGTGTGAGTTGGAAAGTCCCTGAATGTCTTGGAGCAGGCGAATAACTAACAGGTGAGCAGGTTGAGGGGAAAACTGTGCAGTTGTACCCTATTTTCTGCTTAGATGGTCAAATGCTGCACATCCTGATTGTGCCTTCAGGCTCTCTTGGCAGAGGAGGCTCATGTGCTGGAAGATCTGAAGAAGGAAGCATTATAAGAACAGTGCATTGAGTTGAGGGGGAAATATCTGCTGGGAAGCTGAGAGGAGCTTTGATGGGTCTGGTCTTGTCTCCGTCAAGTCTTGGAAACTTTCACAGAGTGAAGAAGTTAGTGTTGAGAGGAAGGATGGGGCAGCAGGCAGAGCAGGTTTGTGTACAACGCAGCAGGAAATAGCGTGGAAAGATTTAACGGGTGCATTTGGGGGCCAGGATGCAAAGATCTTTAAACATAGCCTCAGAGGGCTCTTATAGAAGGTTATCAAGGCTCATCAGCTCCAGCATCTTGCATGCCCGAGGCTGCAAGGCACCGTGTGCGCGGCAGGAAGAAACGCGAGGAGTTATCTGTGTTGTACCGTGGTGGGTGGAAGAACCACGAGTCCTGCAAACTGCAGCACGTGGGATCAAAGCGGTGTGGGAAGACACCGCTTTCTGTCCTGCGGTTCCTGTGGCACACCAGAAGTTTGTGTGTGGTCCCAAATTCCACAGCGCACACAGTTATTAAAGCTGAGGAGGCTCTGTTCGGTCAGCGCGCGCCTTGCAAAGTGCTGGGTGAGGGCTCAGGGCAAGTGATGTGTTCACCAAGCTGGGGCTTGAGCTGCGGGAAGCGTCTTAGCTAGCAGGTAGGTAATTCAGAAGGCGTCTTGTCGGCGTGCATTTCCAGTGATGGTCTGTGCTGCATGAGATGATGTAGCCATGAACTGCGGCTACTTCGGCATCCTCTTCCCTTGAGGGTGTTGGTTTTTAAAGCAACATCAAAAACAGAGCCGAGAGGGTCTTTGAAAACCTGTAAGCTGAAACAGCAGCTAAGTAGTGTAACTGAAGGCTTCCAGATGCTTTCTGTTATGGCCCTGTGTTTTTGTTCTCCTCAAGTTTTTGAGACTTACCTTTCAGACTGAAATTTTCCAGTCTTGGGCCTTTTCCAAAGGCAATTGGTGAGGGTAGGAGCGTGGGAGACACACTAAGCAAACAGTTGAGCTGTTTTGAGAATGAGCACAAAAATACCTCTCCCTGTTGAAATTCTTGTAACCTTTTATCAGCTCTGCAGCTGAAATAGCTGAGTGACAGAAGTTAAAATGTGACTTGGAAATGGCTGGTGCTGTCAAGAAGGGGCTTGAGGATGTCTGGGGAAAAATAATGTCCTTTAGCTCCTCTGTGACCCTTCAAAAGTTGCATGCTGAGCACCGTTCCTCTCCCACGAGCTCGCAGAGCGACGTGCTGCTCGTGTGCAGTTCTCCAGGCTCCGGGGGATTTATTCACACCGTGCTATCTCTATCAGAAGATGCCATCCGCGCTGCCTTCAGAGTCGCGAGCACAGAGTGGACGTGGTGTCCTTGTGGACCGGCTGCAAATTTCTAAAGGCCCTCCCGAAAACGGTATTTTCTGCAAAATTGGCCCTCCGCCGGGTCATTTAGGTTCCTCAGGGTTAGGGTCTCGTCTCTTTGTACTTTGTCAGGTGTGTGTCTAGCTCCAGTGGGACAAACACTAACGTAGTAATTCACCGTATGAAATGATGCTCTGGGCACGTGGAATTTGTGTAAGTAATGAGTATGAAAATATGTAGTAAACACAGCACTCAGTCTATGCTCCAGATTAAATATAGCCTGGAATAGGAGTGGGAATTGGAAGGCAGATCTAGGACACTTGAGCTTGCAGCTAAGAAGCTGCTTTGTTGACTGGTTTGTTGTGTGAAAGGCTGCACTGCCTTGGAGAGTAAGGAGTGTGTGTGGAAATAAGTGTGTAAAGACCTTGTGGATAGCTCTTACACTGAGGAGAGCTCAGCTGGCCTGCAAAAAAACAGGGTTGTGATCACACTGAAAATAAATGAGACTTCCCTGGTGTTTCTGAGGTGACAGAACAGCTCGACTGGTAGAATTTGGGGATTGATGCCTAGCTTCCAGGTCGAAGTATTTGCCAGTGAAGGAGAGAAAAGTTTGCCTAGCGTATTTGACCTGGAGAGGTGCTTTCTGCCATTGAACTTTTGTCCTTGTGTGTTTATGAATGGTGACCTGGTTGCATCTTGGAGTAGCAAGTTGTGTCTTGCCCCGTTGCTGAGGAAAGGTCGCGTCCCGATGAGCGAGTCCTGCACTCGCCGAAGGAGCGTGTGGCACGTGCTGCAACGAGGCAGGGGAGGATGGAGCAGAGCAAAGCATTTGTCGGGGAAGTTGGAGGGAGAAAAATCAAGAAAGATCTTTGAAAGTCAGCACAGATTGCCAGAGAGGCAAAGCCACGGGGAGGTTTTGTGTTTTGGAATATTCCTCTCCTACTTTTTTGTAAAAGTAGAAAAGCCTTGGAGTACTTTTCCGTACTCCAACTGGAGTAGTTGGGCTATAAAAATACTCCAGGGTTATATCAGGCATCACAAAGCAGAGCCCATCACTGCTTCTTGCAGATGCCACGAGCGAGGGGTTGTCGGGAGCGTCGGGCATGGGGGCGTTTTGCAGGGCAGTGGAGAAAAGCAGCTCAATGTGGAGCAGCGTTTACTGGGCCGGAGGGAAGCGGATGGAGTTGCCTGTGAAATAATGAAGTGCTGAAAGAGAGTGCACAGACCAAAAAACTGGCAGCATCATTAATCCTAAATTAGTCCCCAGGTGAGGCACCGGGCTGTTCTGAACATGCTGTGCTGAGGCCGTGAGGTGTCCGGGCACGAAGCACTCGTCCCTTTGGTTTGAACGGGGCGGAGGGCAGGCTCGGGAGCCCCGTTGTTGCGAGGAGATGGGAGTAAATGTCGTCCCTGGAGTTTTGGCAGCTGGTCACGCGCGCCCGTAAAGTCACTGAATTGGGATGAGCGGTTCGCCCGTCGCGAAGGGGTGGCTTCCGAAGCCAACACACAAATAATTTATTGTCGTGGACGCTGAAAGGCAGCCTGCAGCACAGCAGTATTTGGGATCGTGTTTTAAGCGTTTCCTGTGGTATTTGGTGTAAAATGCTAACTATTGTTGCTGTGTCAAGGCTCTCCGTGAGCCCCTGTTGGGATCGGGACACGTGGCTGGAACGATCCTCCCTCCTGCCTCTCACAGGCCGAGGTGCTGCAGCCTCTCTCTGTGGAAGCACGTTGGCCCAGGGCACCTCAGGAGACAGACTTGAGCACCATGTGCTGAGCCAGCCCTGTTGGCCTCAGGGAGTCCAGCCCAAGACTCTTCTGCCTTTGGAGGTGGCTCTTGTTGTTTCCTGTGGACTCATCTGCCCATGGCTGGAGCCCTCGGGATGTGCAGCCCGAGGAGGGGGCCGAGTTGTGTTCTGCAAGGTGTTCAGCGCCCTGGGGTGTGTTGGAGGCCCTGAGCGGAGCAGAACGGGGCGTTATCTCTGGAGCCCCGGGTGGCCGTCCCTGCCGGGGGCTCTCGCTTTGGCGGGGATGCTGACAGTCTCTTCCCTCCCAGGACTCCGAGTTCAGTAATGCCGACCAGATGGACCTCTACGACGACGTGCTAGCTGCCAGCTCGCAGCCCGCCGAAAGCCGCACAGGCAGCTCGGAGCCGCCCCCGGAGATCCGCCAGGAGCCGTCCCCCAAGCCCAACAACAAGTCTCCTGCCATCCTGTACACCTACAGCGGCCTGCGCAACAAGAGGGCTGCCGTCTATGTGGGCAGCTTCTCCTGGGTGAGTGAGGTGGCGGCTTGGCGCTTGCCTGGCTGTGCTTCCCTGGGGACGGAGTCCTTGGAGCACCTCCGTGGGCAGCTCGGGGCTCCTGTGGCGCCTGCAGGGGTGAGATTGCTCCAGGGAAAGCCCTGCGCTCCTGTGGCTCCTTGGAGGGGCTGTCCAGGCTGAGGCAGTGCCCTGAGCTGGGTCGTGAGCTGGCCTTGACCCTGTGATCCTAAGGAAAAAAGGATTCAGAGATCCTCAGGCTCTGGAGACAAGTTGCCTGTGATCTGATGGCTCTGGGCTGCCTTAGTAACCTTGCAGGGCTCTAGTGTCTCTCTTGCACTGACTGTTGCCTCAGCCTGGTTCTCCCTTGGTGTCTCTGCTGGTGATGTGTAAATGAGTCCCTTTCCCTGCCCTGGGATGCTGGGATGAGTCCCTTTCTCTGCCCTGGGTTGATGATCCTGTTTGAGGATATAGAAGCAGTTCTGGGAAAGCTCTGTCATGCACTGAGGGAACAGACCTCTCATAGCAATGCCTGGGATCGGCTTCAGGCTCCAGATTGATTTCGTCATCCCTGCCAAGGCTTTGTGGCCTCTAGGAGTGCCTGCTCCTCGGCCTGCCCGAGTGCGGAGGCTGGC